ATGACATAACAGCCATTTCTGTTGATTTATTCCTCGTAAATCCAAATTGGCAATCTGACAGAATACTGTTGCGTATGAGATAATTTTCCAATCTGATATAAATTATTTTTTCCAGAATTTTGCTTATTACGGGCACTGATACTGGTCTGTAGTTATAAACATTGGTTTTGCAACCTGATTTGTGAACTGGAGTAACCTTTGCTGTCTTGAGTTTTTCTGGGTATATACCCGTAGTAAGTGAAGTGTTGCACAAGTGGAGCAGGGGACGGGAAATGGCAGGCAAAGTGGATTTAATTATTGGCGCTGTGATGCCATCATAACCGGGGGCAGAGTTGTTCAGTTGATTTACTACTTCAGAGAGTTCGGATTCGGTTACGGGATTTAAAGATAGATTTGTGTTGTGCAAAGGCCCCATGAAATTCATGAAACTATAGAATGGATGTGTGACATTGTTAATTAAGTTATTTGCAACATTAACGAAATGATTATTGATATAGTGAGGAATTTGAGTAGAATCTCGAGACTGGCCTTCCTCTACTTCTATCGTTTTATTATCTCTGTTCAGAATTGAATTGATGATCTTCCATGTGTTCCTGCAGTTATTTGAGTTAGCCTTTAATTTTTTTGTATAGTATTTGCTGCGGGCAGAGCGAATCATTTTGGTGAGATGATTACGCGCGCGTCTGAACTGATCTCCGTATGTAATAGGCCGTTTTGCAAATAGGCGCTGGAGCCTGTTCTTCTCAGTTATAAGAGCCTTTATTGCTGGAGTTATGTAGGGTTTATCATGTGATTTTAGTTTGATTAATTTAGATTTTACAGGAAAATACTTATCATACCCTGCTGAAAAAAATGGTGATAAAGATATCGTAAAGTATGTTAGGGTCATTTGAACACAAAACTAAATCCCATCATACATTATTTAAGGAATCCCTAAATTGATCAATTCTGCCTTTGTTAAAATCCCTGTAGGTTACATTTATTTCCCTCCTTGTTTCTCGATTAAAGCGGGTTTTGAAAGTTGAAAAGATGGGGAAGTGGTCAGAGATGGTTATGTGGATGACACCGCTTGTTATATGGTCGGATAGTTGGTTAGTCCAAATGTGATCTATCAGCGTGGCTGACGTGGGACTCACTCGTGTAGGTTTGGTGACAGACGTAAAAAACTATTTTGAATTGAATAGGGCTATGAAGTCTTGAACATTAGCATCTGATATATTCTTCAATAAATCTACATTAAAATCACCTGTAATAATACAATGTTTGTTTTCTTCGCTAATTACTTTTATTATTTCTTTCATTTTATCAAGGAAGTGTTTAAAATCCGTGTGAGGTCGTCTGTAAACTACGCCGACCACCAGATTTACCTCCTGATTTTTAATTTCTATAAAAAGAGTTTCTAAGCAATGCTCCATAATACTTAACTCTGGTCGTAGTTGCGAATCATGACAGTCCCTCACACCCCCACTTTGGCGGGATAAATTGTTGGTATAGGCATTGTAATTAGGTACATTAAAGAGATGTTGTATATCTGTAGTTAATTTGGTTTCACAGAAGGACAAGATATCAAAGTTGAAGTTCAGTGGATGTAAGCATTGGTCTATGAATGTATCGAGATGGAGAGGGATGCTGTTAATGTTTAGACTCATAACAGATATCACATTTTTAGACAGCTGGAGGACGGGCTGGGCGAGGAGAGAGCGGGCGCGGCAGTCGGGGAGTCGTGGACAGCGTCTGAGGGATGCGGTCTGAGGGGGAGGGGGAGACGGCGTCGTGGGGGGGCTTGCGGCGACGGCGCGCGGAAATTCCGGGGCAGCGTCCACTTCCCACTCGCGGCGATCTCCTCCAGCCTGTCCTTCCCTGACTATCAGTGTGCGATAGTTGAAGTAGGCGAATTTCCCGTCTCGTCTTGCTGCATGATAGCTCTCCATCTGTTACCGTCTTGCTGCTATGGTGCCGGGGCAGAAATCTTCATTAATGAATATCTGCATGCCACGCAGCTTCCTTCTGTCACGGAAAAGTATATATATATATGTATATATATATATATATATATATATATATATATATATATATAAAGTATATATATATATATATATATATATATATATATATATATATATATATAAAGTATATATATATATATATATATATATATATATATATATATATAAGTATATATATATATATATATATATATATATATATATATATATATATATATATATATAAACAGACAGACAGAGACAGACAGGCAGATAGATAGGTAGAAAGAGATAGATAGATAGATAGATAAATAGAGACAGAGAGAGAGAAAGAGAGAGAGAGAGAGAGAGAGAGAGAGAGAGAGAGAGGAGAGAGAGAGCGAGAGAAGGAGAGAGAGAGAGAGAGAGAGAGAGAGAGAGAGAGGAGAGAACGAGAGAGAGAGAGAGAAGAGAGGAGAGAGAGAGAGAGACGAGAGAGAGAGAGAGAGAGAGAGAGAGAGAGAGAGAGATAGAGAGAGAGATAGAGAGGAGAGAGAGAGTGAACGAGAGAGAGAGAGAGAGAAGAGAGAGAGAGAGAGAGAGAGAGAGGAGAGAGTAGAGAGAGGAGAACGAGAGAAAGAGAAGCGAGAGTGAGAGAGAGAGAAAGGAGAGGAGAGGAGAGAGGGGAGACGATAGATAGATCGAGAGATTAGAAGAGAGAGATTCCTTGAAAGTTGTTGACGCATATCGACATCTACGATTGTCATTAATTCACTTTGCTCTATTTTTATTACAAATTGATTATCAGTTGCATAAATAACCTCGTTAATCGATGAATACATTTACATGCAGAGTGTCAGATGTGATTGGTGTATCTTCACTTTAAACTAGAGGGTTTATATCTGAATTCACGTACATGAGTTCGTAGTTGAGGATGTTCATCAACTAATGTATCCTTGTAATTGCTTATTTAAAGTAGTACAATTAATTATCTCCACTATTAGGGTCTTATTATGTATTAAATTGTATATTTTGGACGTTAACAAATCTAGCTATTATATCTCAACACTTTGACCTGTACTATACGTATAAATCTATCCATATCATATTTTAATATATCTATAACTATTATTGTACTTTTACACTGGCCTATTTAAGTGTATTTTAAAATGTACATCCTATGATGTATATATTACTAAACCTAATATGTTATAATATAGAACACAGGACAGGCAGATAGATAGGTAGAAAGAGATAGATAGATAGATAGATAAATAGAGACAGAGAGAGAGAAAGAGAGAGAGAGAGAGAGAGAGAGAGAGAGAGAGAGAGAGAGAGAGAGAGAGAGAGAGAGAGAGAGAGAGAGAGAGAGAGAGAGAGAGAGGAGAGAGAGAGAGAGAGAGAACGAGAGAGAGAGAGAGAGAGAGAGAGAGAGAGAGAGAACGAGAGAGAGAGAGAGAGAGAGAGAGAGAGAGAGAGAGAGAGATAGAGAGAGAGATAGAGAGAGAGAGAGAGAGTGAACGAGAGAGAGAGAGAGAGAGAGAGAGAGAGAGAGAGAGAGAGAGAGAGAGAGAGAGAGAGAGAGAGAGAACGAGAGAAAGAGAACGAGAGTGAGAGAGAGAGAAAGAGAGAGAGAGAGAGAGAGGGAGACAGATAGATAGATAGATAGATAGAGAGAGAGAGATTCCTTGAAAGTTGTGACGCATATCGACATCTACGATTGTCATTAATTCACTTTGCTCTATTTTTATTACGAAATTGATTATCAGTTGCATAAATAACCTCGTTAATCGGATGAATACATTTACATGCAGAGTGTCAAGATGTATTGGTGTATCTTCACTTTAAACTAGAGGGTTTATATCTGAATTCACGTACATGAGTTCGTATTTGAGATGTTCATCAACTAATGTATCTTTTAATTGCTTAATTAAAGTATACAATTAATTATCTCCACTATTAGGTCTTATTATGTATTAAATTGTATATTTTGGACGTTAACAAATCTTAGCTATTATATCTCAACACTTTGACTTTACTATACGTATAAATCTATCCATATCTATTTTAATATATCTATAACTATTATTGTATTTTTTTTACTGGCCTATTTAGTGTATTTTAAAATGTACATCCTATGATGTATATATACTAAACCTAATATGTTATAATATAGAACACAGTGACAGATTATGAATCACTTTTTTGAACAGGAAATTCATATGTATTTATTCGCCGGTATTTTGAACTCCTGAACAGGATGATAACTTCCGAAGAATTTCTAACGAACCGAGAGCGTCATTCTAGGCAAATAAAACGTAAATCAAGAATACTGGGAAGAGTGATTGCAAGAAGTGTTCATGAGATATTGCAATTATCATTATTATTATTATATATTATTATTATTTAAAGATATATATTGTTATCGTTATCATCATTGTTATTATTGTCTTTATTGTTATTATTATTATTATTGTTATTATTATTTTTGTTTTATTATTATCATTATCATTGTTATTATTGTCATTATTGTTATTATTATTATTATTGTTATTATTATTATTGTTTTATTATTATCATCATCATCATTGTTATTATTGTTATTTGCGTTGTCTTTGTCTTCTTTTCTCTCTCTTTTCCATTCTCTTTTCTCTATGTCTTTTCTCTCTTCACTCCTGTCAATCAATCGAATTATATATCATCTCCATTTATCTTCTATTCTCTCTTCCCCTTTCTCCGTTTATTTTTTAAAACTCTATTTTCACTCTTTTTAACTAATCATCATCATCGTCATCACAACCATCACCCATCTCATCACCCCATCACCACCACCCCACCCCCACCCGCGTCATCACTCCCATCACCACCATCACCCTCATCCTCATCACCCCCCCATCACCACCCTACCCCCCCCCCCCTACCCTCATCACCCCCATCACCACCACCATCATCCTCATCCTCATATCCCACGAACACCCCCCCCCCTCATCCCCCCCCCCCCATCCCCCTGACTGGTAATTCGAATGGTATTTCCAGGATGGTCTCACTCTACTCCACTTAGCAGCTCACGGAGGTCTCCACGAAGCCACCCAAATCTTGCTCTCTGCCGGCGCTGAAGTTAACATCACAGACCAGGCCGGATACACACCCATGCACGCAGCCATATTAAGCAGACAGAGGAAGGTGAGGAGGCACGGCTGTTGCACAATCAATCGGAGAAATGTTGAAAAGGCTGAAGTGAAAGTGGAGACTGCGTCTGTCCTGTCTCTTTGTTTCTATATTTTTTTTTTTGCGTCTCTGTCTGTCTGTCTGTCTGTCTGTCTCTTTTTGCGTCTCTGCATCTCTCTTTCTTTCTCTATCTCTCTCTCTCTCTCTCTCTCTCTCTCTCTCTCTCTCTCTCTCTCTCTCTCTCTCTCTCTCTCTCTCTCTCTCTCTCTCTCTTTCTCTCTCTGTCTTTCTCTCTCTCTCTGTCGCTCTCTCTGTCTGTCTATTCTCTCTTTCTCTGTCTGTCTTTTGACCCTCCTTTTGCGTCTCTGTCTGTCTGTCTATCTATCTCTGTTTGTGTCTGTCTGTCTATATATGTCTGTCCGTCTGTCTGTCTGTCTGTCTGTCTGTCTGTCTGTCTGTCTCTCTCTCTCTCTCTCTCTCTCTCTCTCTCTCTCTCTCTCTCTCTCTCTCTCTCTCTCTCTCTCTCTCTCTCTCTCCTCTCTCTCTCTCTCTCTCTCTCTCTCTCTCTCTCTCGCTCTCTCTCTCTCTCGCTCTCTCGCTCTCTCTCTCTCTCGCTCTCTCTCCCTCTCTCTCTTTGTCGCTCTCTCTGTCTGTCTATTCTCTTTTTGTCTCTCTCTTTGTGTTTCTGTCTGTCTTTTTGTATTTCTATATGTCTGTCTGTCTGTCTGTCTGTCTCTCTCTCTCTCTCTCTCTCTCTCTCTCTCTCTCTCTCTCTCTCTCTCTCTCTCTCTCTCTCTCTCTGTTTCTCTGTCTCTCTTTTTATCGACTCTCTCTATCTGCTTCTCTGTCTGTCTGTCTGCCTCTGTCTATCTATTTACCTGACTGTCTTTTTGTCTCTCTCTTCCTCTCTCTCTCTCTGGCTATCTATCTATCTATATCTATATCTATCTATCTATCTACATACGTATATACATACATACATACATGCATATATCCATACATACATGTATGTATGCAAATATATATATATATATATATATATATATATATATATATATATATATATATATATATATATATATATATATATGCATATATATATATATATATATATATATATATATATATATATATATATATATATATATATATATATATATATGTATATATGTATATATATGTGTATATATATGTGTATATATATGTGTATATATATGTAGATATGTATATATGTATATATATATATATATATATATATATATATATATATATATATATATATATATATATATATATATACAAATATATATGCACACATATGTGCGTGTGTCCAATCAGGAAAAGATTTGCTCGTCCCTGCTGGAGCTCCTCCTCGACGCCGGGGGCGACTTGCGGTGCGAGGGCGGGGCGGAGTACGCGACCTTACCCCACGCCGCCGCCAGTGTGGGTTGTACGCGCTGTCTGGGCGTCCTGAGTTCACGGGGCGCTGACCTGGATTGCAAGGTGAGTGGGCGGGGGCGTCTATGGGAAGATGAATTATGGTTAGAAGAGGTTGTTGCGGTTGGTGGGCGGTGGGCGTTGAGGGAGGTTGAGTGTTGGTTGTTGTTTGGGGGGTAGGGGAATTAGGTCATAAGTGTGGATATGTACATGATGGAAAAGAGAATGAGGTATGGATCTACTGAAGAGATAATTCCGTCTCAAGAAAAGGTCTTTCTCCTTATCCTTACCTTCTTCCTCCTTATCCTTCCCATCGCTTTCTCGCCCCCTCCCCCCCCCCCCCTTTTCCCTTCTCTCCCGCACTCCTCCCCCTCCCCTCTCTTCCTCACTCGTCCCCCTCCCCCCTCTCCCTCACTCGTCCTCCTCCCCCCTCTCCCTCACTCGTCCCCCTCCCCCCTCTCCCTCACTCATCCTCTTCCTCCCTCTCCCTCCTCCTCCTCCTCCTCCCTCAACCGTCCTCCTCCCTCTCCCTCACTCGTCTCCCTCCCCCCTCTCCCTCCCCCTCCCCTCTCTCCCTTACCCGTCCTCCACTCACGCTTCCGCCCTCCCCCTCTCCCTCACCCATCCTCCTCTTCCCTCCCCCACGCTTCCCATCCTCTCCTCCTCCTCCCCCTACCTCCCCCCTCTCTCCCTCCAGGACTCCTCCGGAAGGACGCCTCTCCACTTCGCCGTCGAGTACGAGCACCCAGAAACGGTGTCCTTCCTGTTGGGGCGCAACGCGGACGTGGAGGCGGAGGACAAGCGCGCCAACCGTCCCCTCCACTACGCCATCGGGACTGACTCGCCCCGCCTCGTGGCCTCGGTCTTGGAAGCCGACCCGCGGAGGGATTCCCGAGACCGCGACGGACGCACGTACTTCCAGCACGCCGTC